TATAATGTACGACTACTTAAACGCTCGTGTAAAGCAATAATACCGCTAACAAGTTCGATTATTTGAACAAATATTCTTCTCCGGATTGCAAAATCTAAAAAACGTACTATATGTATATTCGTATTTATGAAATAAAAATTAAATAAAACATCAATGCAAGTAATTGTAATAAATATCACGTACTTACGTAGGTATGCGTAGTTACATTTATATAACCATAATTACTTCGTGAAAAGAGATATTGACAGTAATTACTATTGGTCCGAAAATGCATGACACCGCGGATTAACTGCATAATCTCGATGTTATGATTTACACAAGATACAGAATCGTCCTGTACAGTGTACAGATCCAAAATGGGGCCTGAAGTCTGCCCCCCCCCCCCAGACTTAAATATATTTTATCTATTATATTACAAAACGGGGCTTCATTTGGGGGAGGTTAAGTTTCACCCCTTACTTTTATTATAGTTCCAATTGGCCTGCGCCCTTCTGAAACAATGCACGATTATTAATATGATTAAAATTAAATTGTATTTTAATTTTTATATTGACACTTATCAATTATTGATACATTGTCAATCAAGATTGCAATTTTAAACTACACTGGTTAGAAATGAATATCGTACTATCAATTAATTGAGTAAACAATAGATTGATATAATATATATATTCTACCAATTACTAAATCAACAATCAGAACATTTTGTTTTATTTTATCTATTACGAAACTTCATTTATACCAAGTATACAGACTTGTGCGTGAACAGACTTTCAGCAGCACACGAGACTTCGTTAATGTTTCGAGGCAATCATAAAGCAATAATGCCATATGCTTCGCCGTTTCATCCGTGAAAACGAAACCTGCACAAAAATAAAAATACACCACGCGATTGTGGCTCTCTGTTCCGCGTGTTGTTTGATAGATCGAGAAAAATCGGTGTTGGTCCCAAAACAAATTGCGCGCAAGAAATCATCAAACCACGTTGTTCGAAAACATTAGAATCGCAGCTATGGAGATGTATACTCTTCTGTCACTGTAATTACTTAAACGTTTTAAAATTAAAACCTATCAACGACTATGATGGAGAAAAAAATTTAATCGAATAAAAATCGTATATTTAAAATAGTCGAAAGAAATAAATCAACTTTGTTTTTAAATTAAAAATTGTTCTTTATACTTCATATATAGGTACACTAAATAAAAACATACCTAATAAACATTTATTTTTCGTATGATGTATTATGTATAACTGCTAAGAAGTATAAGAAGTATAGGTATGACGTGAATAATAATATGTCAATATGCAAGTTAGTATTCCTTATTATAAATTATTAAAAACTTAAATATCTTACCTGACATTTGTAAATTTGCACTAATCTCTCCCCATGCCTCTTTACGAAGGTTATTATTTTTATTCGACAAAAAAAATGTCGTATAAAGATTTATGTTCCCGGACATTTTCTATTAATGACTCCTCAAATCAAGACATTTTAAAAAGATAGGAAAACCAACTACATCGGCTGATGTCTGAAGTAAAATTATCGTATTTTAAATAACACGATACTATCACACGTCACACGTTTTTCAATATTATTTGAAACGCGTGGCGTGGAATTAAGTAGGAATGCGTTGCGTGTTATAAATATGATCACAAAATCGAATAATATTTAAAAATAAACGCGTTAACACTTGATTTAAAATTATCGGCGTGTTAACGCGTGGCATTTAAAGACATGTTAAGACGTGGCATGTGAATAGTGTGTCCTTAGCAATAAACTTTATTTTTGGTATATTATATATTTCTTTATATGTAATCTTTATAAAACAGTTTTCGTGATATCAATACCATGAAAATTGAGCTCATATAGGTGCGTACTGGACCACAAGGATACCGGGAGAATCCCGGTAGGCCCTCTCAAAAATTATAAGACCTGGGCCCTTTACCAAATAGGTACCTGTAGTTTCAGTTAAATTCAGTAATTTTATTATTTTTAACAATTACAATACAATACTGATGGACAGTCGACTTCTTAATTTAGTACCCAATAGGAAATGAGTAAAACACGCAATTTTTCGAATAATTTAATTGATTTGCTTTTGGTAAATATGTCTGTTACCATTATTTCGATTATTTCCATCACTAGTTATAACATCACCAGCAGAATCGGTAAGTAATGTTGCTGAAGTTCGGTCGAAAAAAACGACCTGTATCATCTCAGGAATACAGTAAATTTAAATATATTGCAATTTCTTTAGGCATATTTCCAATTTTGTTTTTTTCCAATAACTTGCTTGATGCATTAACCGTTTTTATAACTAAAAAAAAAATCTATCTGACGTTACATTTGTGGGTCAAAAGTCCATGTATTTTTTAAAAGTATCATATAACTCCCCTATAATATTAAACGATCGTGAACAATTTGTTTTTTGAGTAGAGAAGTTTAATGTGTAATATATTTTTCACTAATGAATATTACATATATCATAATAAATGCACGGAGAATGAATAGTCAATATATACAAAACAATTTTATCATATCAAAATGAATAGATATATTTTAAATAATAATAATATTCTTCTTGCGCTATTATTATTAGAACAACAACAACAAATTTTAGTTACCTCATCGCCAAACATTAGAAAACCTATAAATTAATTATTTATATATCGGGATAGAGAATAATTGATGATGATCAAATGTCATCTTTTTGAATAATATTTTTATAATTTGGACCTCCAATATTGTAAAGAAGTGTATTATTCAGGACTTCACGAATTAGAATTTCGTCTTCCGACGCCGATAATATCAGTGTTGACGTCATATCTACAAACGTTTCAATAGTCGTTGTGATGTGTCGCGGAGACATATCGCAAGATACTGCTCTCGGAGCAGTAGTGTCGTCGGTCGCGACGACTCAAAGTTAGGTCGCTGCGACTTGTCGCGTCTAGCAAACCAATGAATAAAATTTTCGTATAAACAGATGTTGAAGACTTGTCGCAGTGTTAATTATTTTAAATGGTAAATTCCGAGGTGAAAATATATTATTACCGCAAATCCCTATTATACCCACAGATGTGCCAATACAATTTAAGCGCCTTCAATTTCCAATTAGATTGGCATTTGCAATGACTATCAATAAGCCTTAAGGCCAAACGATGTCTGTTTGTGAGCACATCATGTTTTTCACATGGACAATTATACGTGGCGTGCTCTCGAACCATCCAGTTTGTTTATGTTGGCGAAAGATGGGATAACAAAAAATATTGTATACTCTGTTGCATTAAGGGATTGATATTGTTTTTTACTAATATTGTCATAATTAGCAATATATATAATTTTAAAGGATCAATTTTAATAAATTACTAAAAAAATAAATGTTTGATGTTTTATAATTTTTATATTCCGTCACCGTTCACAGCTCTCCATACCGCTTCTATTTATATACCACATCCTTACACACCTATATTAAATTAGTTATTTTTTTCTAACAAAATATTTTCTAGAAATAATTTATATGATAAAACAACGTCGGATCAGCTGGTACATTATATATATCTGGTGATAATATTTTTTATTTTAACTCCATAACAAATATAGTTTAGTTCTTTTTTCAAAATTTCAAGTTTTAATTTATACATAAGTATCTAAACTAAATTATAGCATTTCAGAATGTTGGTAATATATTATTTTCATGTTTGATGGTTGAAACTTTGCAGATTTATTGATTTACAAGTCATAATTCTATGATCATAGGTGATTAAATTTATTTTCGGAAAGGGTTTACTTATGAAATTTGTATAGAATTTGATGTTAATCAGTTTTATTTTTTATTTTAGTGTCTGGTAATAATTTTCCATCCCAATCTACATCCACGCAATTAGGTACAGATTCTTTAAATCTTAATTTAATTAGTTCACTGCACTCGCGACGATATATTTCTCTAGACCTATGTATAGAAGTTTGATAATTAACATACATTTATTATTGAACATATTTCTCAACATTAAGTTTTAAAGCTTCTAAAGTAGCTTGTAGAACATATAATATATCCCGTATGCTTAACTGGCACCTATCTAAAGCTCCGGCTAGTTTTAGTGCAATAAAAATAATTTTTTCCCGGCATTTTTTTTTTTTTCTGGAAGGGGCTCTATTTCTAATGAAATATTAATCTCTAATTCTGATGAATCACTACTTTCTGGACTCTTATTTTCTGAAGTGCTATCAAATTGAATAAAATTTAATGACGAAGTTGATGGATGATCTTTATTATAATTATCTTTTCTGTTTGATTCATTCAACTTTTGTTCATACGGGAATTTTATAAAATTATTTTAGTCTGCACTATAATTAATAAGTATGAAAAAAATACCTAAATTGTGTTTTCTTACAGTCAATGTATAATATACTTCACGAACCATTGGAGATATTAAAAATATAATATTATAAAAGTTATAGGAAATTTATTTTACTTCAAAATATATAATATAAAAAATGTCGATATTTCTAAAAGTTAACGAAATATTTACGAAAATGTGGAAAATTTTTGTAAATATTGAAAAATTTTAGGAGTTCGACCTTAAACTACAAGTCGGCACGGGTTAACCTTAACCGATTGGTTTCAAAATTTTTACAATTCATTTTTATACATATATGCACACATTTAGGGGGTGAGACCAGAAATATTAGGATTTTTTTTTCATCATGTAAAGTTAAGGAACACCCTAATGAACATACTTTTAATCTGTTTACTTTAATTTAAATATTCAATTTTTAGAACTTGCGTATTGAGCGCAGTCATTTTAATCAATAATAATAATAATTAACAACCACCAATGATAATTAAATAAAATTTCTCATAAATATATAATGTAGTTTATATCTCTGAAACATAAAAAAGAAAGTATTAACTAATTAAAATAATATTAGAATAAAGCCAAATAATATTATTATCAAATAGATCGTAACCATTACAAGAAATTAATATTAACACTAATGGGTAGTCAATAAATTTGAAAACAAAAAGACTACAACAACAAATATATCACAGACATTATGTATAAAAATATTGTTGGCGAGCACAATAATTGCTGTTATCATTAAGTATCCATACGGTATATAAAATTATCTGTATACAAGCATTTGGCTAGCTTTATTATGAACTGTTCACCGGTTTTCATACAACTCTGTGGTCCTTTAATCATCTTTAGTGCTACATCAATAGCTACAACACAATCAGAAAACTGTCGGTCTTGTTTTAAAGATTCCAGACTGTTAATTGCTTTTAAACAATCTACAGATATAGTAAAATCACTGAAATAATACAAAATTAGATTAGGTTTGATATAATCCATTAAAGTAGACAATAATTTTTTAACTACTAAGCTATAATTAATTGAAAGTTACTTGTTATTAGATGTAAAACCACCAGGTGAGTTGTTCTCTTGTCTTATATACTGTTTACGACTAGATTTGTTCTCAGGTAACTGTGAGTATATAAAAGCTACTAGAGCACGGCACATCACACGACATCTACACATTTACATAGTTAATAACAAAATCTTTAATACAATGTATGGATGGCTTACTTTGGTGTAATATTGGTCTGTTTCTGTAACCTTATAGCATCAAATAAACTCCAACTCTGTTTATGTTGAGCTAATAGTGTTGCTGTACTAGCAACTCTAAATAAGTATTCAGCTGTTTGATCATCTTCAACAGTGCTTAATCGTAAAACTAAGGACCACAATAGGGGCAACTTGTTTTCAGCAATATTGCTACACATAAAAAGCATTGATTTATTAACCTAAATGGGTTCAATGTTTTTGAAATGAATTGCTTAAAACGTCTATATATAATTTATGATTTTATCCTTGTTATGGTTTAAAAGGAATACAATATGATAAAACAATTTTTTCTTTCTTACCTAGGTTTTACAGCTTCTAAGCATTGTACTAAAGTATGCAAGACGTCAGGATAGGCTGATCGATTTTGCGATTCTTTTAAAGCCAAAGTGTATAATGTGAGTAAATGGCTGGATGACATTAAAACTTCACCTAAACCTTGGTAATGAAGACGTACAGGTTGCACCAAAGCCAATACTCTTTCCCACTTAAAATCGTCTTCATTTCCTGTTATAGAAACCAAATTAATAAAACTAATATACAACATTTAATATGATTAACTTACCGACATTTTTGAACCATGATGTCAAACAAACTTCAAATATATCACTTTTGTGTTGCTGATCAGTAACATGCGCCCATGTCACCATCAAAAACCCTTGTAACACAGTGCAGTCAGCTTTTCTATGTGATATCCACTCTTGAATAGTTTGCAACATTAAGGAAGAAAGTATAGAACCTGGAGGTTGATTGACTAATACCAATAGCTCTAAGACTAATAATTTAGCCTCTTCGCCGTGTTTTGTAACCATTTCTGTATCATCTAATAGCCGGTGGAAAGCACATTTAAGATGTTTGTAATGACCACCCAATACTGACCTATATCGAGATGCTAAAGATATAAACATCCTAACCATTGCTCGAATGAATATTCGTCTTTTGTATAAACTTAGTTCAGCATATGGCATACTGTGTTCAACATTGTTGTAACCAGCAGCAGTTTTCAAGAGACTAAAAGTAAAAATTGTTGATTTCAAATGTTATAGAACAAATAAATAATTCATGCATTATTCATTAATTATCAAGTAACTTACTCAAGCACAGCAGAATCTGTGCCACACCAATCTTCATTACTGAGCTGAAGAACCGTCATTGGATCGTATTTCGAAACAAACCAACTCAAAATATTTTCATATGTTTCACCATCAATTTGATGCCAAGCAAATTTTTGGGCCTCTAACAAAAGTGGCCTGATTTTTCCACCCTATGAACATTATAATTAAGTAAAATTTTTAAAAATTAAAAGGTATGCTTAGAAATACTTTTCTCATGTTAGGCTGATTGGATAGTTTTATGAACAATGATAACAGAATACGTGAATCAAGATTAGGCACATATGGCCAAGGTACTTCCAAAACAATATTTGCCAAAAAAAATTGTGATTGTGGTAAAAATTGATCCATAACCTATGAAGAAAATTACCAAGATTATCAATTATAATACCATATTAATTAAATACAATTTTATCATTCATTACCTTCATAATCAAATCTAAATCTACAGGTGTGGGTATAAATCTCTGCCAAGGTAACTTTTCAAGATTTGAATGAATCGTCTCAAAAATATAATCATTTGTCTGAATATGAGCAAACATTTTTATGTACCATTGACATACATAACTTAAAACGTTATCACACGCTATAATCCATGTAAAACAAAAATTAATTTTTTTTTCTTTCAAAATATTTATCAAATAAAATATTAACAAAGAATTCACCTGGCATAGTGTCCAGAACAAATGTAATACACTCTACAAATGCATTGACCATTAAAGCTGATATTGATGAATCAGTAGCTAACCATGGTAGTTTCAATGACCTATGATCAGTGTTCCATCCTTCATACCAAGGTTCCAACCATGGACCAAACATACTAATTAAAGTTGGACATAAAAACTCGCATACTAAAATAAAATAATTATTGTAAATATTTTTTTTAAGATGAAAATGTTTAAAAAAGAATGACATTTAATACACACTATCTATTGTCTATTATTTTATTATATATATATTATAACAATTATTTTTCAGATATTTCTTTACTTTAAAGTTTATAACCACATATTTAAATTTAAAATAATTTTTATCTATCACAATAGATTACTTGCTTATATTTATTCTATAATTACAAATTAATAAAAAATTATCTAGAACCATAAATGATTTTTATAAAATCATACTTACTTTTATTAGCTAACATTCCTCGGTAAGATTGTAATGTCCCTACAACTAATGCATGGCTAACCATACCATACAATCCAACTAATGGTCCAATGTATACATTATATTTTGAATACAACTCTCCAGTCGCAGACTTAAGTCTTTCATTGGCAAAATGGGTGGTCAAAAGATGTAAAGTTTCTTGAAGCTGTGCGTTACAAAAAGCTAAATTAGAATGTATTATCAAATATTATAGAATTATAAGTCATAACTAGGGCCCGGATTTATATGTAAATACATATTTTTACTGTAACTTGATAAATTAATTTAGGTAAGTTATAAATTCGTTTCAAGAGATTTCCAATGAAATTATCTATATTTTATTTTACATATTTTTACATATTTTGTTATAAATACAAATTTTTACATATTTCTCAATAATTTCATTTTTCGACCATTTATCTATTTACGATTTATTAATAATTCAATACAATTTCTCATGTTTCCAAAAGTACATAAACAAAATAATACCAATTATTGAAGTTAATCTATGGTTGATATATGTTTGATATTCAATATTTCAATATGTTCGACAAGAAAAATGACTTAATTTCAAAGTTTAGGACTCGTAGAAAAAGCTGTAAAATTTATAGAACAAGTACAAAGAATATTGGGAGTTGCAGTAAAAGAAAAAAAGCACAAAGTATTTAACAAAAATCCTGAATTAAACTGTCTAAAATGAATTAGAGATATATATTGCAGAATGAATGGGGTAATATTACCGAATGAGCTCACTCTTTTGAACATTGGAAATATGAAATTTGCACCCATTACCTGTGTAAAGTAGAATGCTCTTTTAGTAGGTGCAAATCTATGTTACAACCAAACCGTAGATAATTTAACTTTGAAAATTTGAACATGTATATGGTATCTCATTGTTATCAAGATCAAGGTTCAATTTTATAATAATTTCAATTCAAGTGTCTTAAATTTTTTATTTTAATTTTTTGTCATTTATAAAGCGATTTTTAATTTTTTTTATATTCCATATTTTCATTTTATTATCACATATAAAGCAATTTTTTATAACATATATTGGTTATTTTTAATACATATAAATTTGAGCCCTATTCATAACATACTTGTTGTGAACTAAGAGATCTTTGATCCGTTGCATAACGTCTAACTACATCCCGTAGTTGATCTGATGATAATTCTGGCAATAAAATTGTTCTCGCAGTATTTGTTTGAGTGGTGGGCACTGCTTGAGCCAAGATAGTATTGAGAATATTAAACCATACTTGACAATAAATGCGACCTTCTTTAGAATGATCTAGAAGTTTTAGTAATATTTCACCATAATGTTCAGGGAAATCATGTTCCATTATTTTGCATAAATGTTGACTAAAAAGCTACAAATAATAGTGTAATAAATTATTAACTAGTTAAAAAATAATTAAGAATTATAAATATTAAATTTGCTAACTTCGTGTAAGGACCATGTGTAATCTGATCGCGTTTGTTGTTTTACTAATATCAATGCTTCTATACAGTAATCTATAAGTATTGACCTGTCATGAAGTAGAGGTTGTTTTGTTGAAAGGTAAACAGATATATCAAACTAAAAATTAATTTTTATATTAGTATTTTATTTTACACATTGTCGTTCTATTGCACTTACTTTAGATAGTAATTTTAATGCAATAGGTTCATGTATTGCATTACAATTGTTTATGATATTTTTATAGGATTGTATAAAAGTATGTATGGATGCAGTGGAGGGCGAAAATAAGGGAATAAGTACATCCGCTAGTTCTGGATGGTTCAATGCTGTATTTTCAATATGTAAGCATTCTTTTTCGTTGTTCATAATGAAAACCTGAAAATATACATAGATACTTAATAATTATAATTGGTTATACTTAAAATAATAACTTAAGTATTACGAACATTTCCAATAGTCTGTAAGATAGCTAATACAAATTTATCAATTGGTGGACATGTCTTGAATACAACATATTCAGACATAAGGGCATAGAACAATCGAACACCTGATGAACGAATATCAGTAACTAATGCAATATCTCCAATTTTATTCAATTCATTGAGTTCTTTTAATATTAATCTAGAATAGTAGAAATTAATGAAAATAAAATGTTTACAATACATAAATATTTTATATGTACTACGATTCTGATATTGGGTTTCTAATATCTATGTACATACTGAATAATAAGATTCAAAGTAGTACATGCTGATGTTAAAGAGCTTGGCAAAGGCTTTTCTAAAATTTCATTGATTAATGTGTCTAATTCTGATCTGTTGTTAGAATTTAATTCTACTACATCCGTATTTAATTTAGATTCATGAATCTGAAAAATATAATATACACTATAAGTAATGTGAGAATATTAGTTTTGAATTTTTTGATTTGTACTTGGAAAGTTATTTCCGCAGCACCAGCGCAATTAATACTGTTTGCATTGCCTTTTTTTGTTTTATAATCACAAACTGCTTGAACTCGTGTAGTTGAATTTATTTGAACATAAATCATTTTTACACCATCAATATACCGGCTGTCTAAATTCTCATGACAAACTGTTTGCATTCTGTACACTTGACTAGTGAACATAAATATTTAGTTTCAAAAAAATTATTAATAGATTTATTGCTTACTTAATGAATTCCACAATTTGTTTAATATTTAACTCTACAATATTTAATAAATGATTTTGATGATACAAAATATCAGCAGTTACTAACTGTATATCTGACAGCCGTAATACAAAATCAGGACTTTGTAAAGGATCATCGTAAGACTTAAGTCTGAAAATATAAATTTAGTAGATCAAACATATATATTAGAATGAATATTTATCTTCAAAACCTGTTAACGATTCTAGAAGTAGGATCCTTTTCTAAAGGTTTTCTGTTAATATTACCACTGTTGTGTACATGTTTACCAAATAAATCACACCAGTTTTGTATACATTCAAATTTATTTTCTTCTATCAACTTATGATTAATTATATCTGATAACCATTCCTACAGACAAAAATGTAATTAAAATGCTTCCAAAAAATCGTTTAAATTAATTTAATTACATGGGAACCATTAATAATATGAGTTAAGTCAGTTGGTTCATACATTGAATCCAATGATGGAATAAACAAAGTTGATTCAAGAAGTCGAACATCTGTTAACCACAGAGTACAGGCTTCATAAAATCTAAAAATAAATGATCAAATATCATAATAATTTAACTATATAGATAAAAATATATATTATATACCTTCCTAATCGCAAATCTATTTCAGAATTTGGTTCAGTTTGAAGTTTTGTGCGATGAAAATCTATACATTCTTTTAGCTTATTATTAATTTTGTTTAAATACGATGAATTAACAAGACCTTCGAAAAATTTACGACCAACACAGCCAAGTTGTTGAGTTCTAATTATAAATAATTTAAAAAGTAAAAAAATAAATTACTTAGGACATATGTAAAAATATTACTAACCCTGGAACTCGTTGTAAGTATAATCTAAAAAAATTTTGCCAATATAATGGAGTCATTGGATGACCAGGCGATATTTCCAATCCATATTGCATCCACCGGTATATTGCTAAATGCCCGGATGTAAAATAAGGTAATTTTAACTCGGAACATACTCTCTATATAAATGAAAAAATAAATAAAATAAAATTATAATAGTAAAGTATATAACAATTATATAAAACCTTAAGTGCATCATCCACATTTGCCTTTCCTTGTTGTAAATGTAATTTTATCAGTAAATTTTTCCAAATATTATTCCTGCCTTGAATACACCATTCTTCAGCTTCTAATGCCAATAGAGCATAATACGGACAATGATATAATATCATAGGATATTTTGGTAATAAGAGTGGTCGTTTTTCAGGACTTTGAAACATAAAATTAAAAATTGACCCAATAGCAGTAATGTTTTCTTTGACATCACTAAATTGCTAAAATATAATTAAAATTAATAATCTGATAAGTTTTTCTCTAAAAAACATACTTACAGTAATTAAACTAATTAACAATTCTCGAGCCCACTGTAATAATTCAGATCGAAAAACATTTTTGAAAACCGTATTCAATACATAAACGAAACACTCTGACTCCTCTTCTCTCCATACAGCACATACAGCTTTAGTCCATAGATCCATCACTAAATGAGGACTGGTTATTCCATATCGTACATAGTTGGATATTTGATATTGAATCATATTGGTAAACTGCAATATGATTTCAGAAGGCCCTTGAATAGTCAATAAACTCATGGCTCGTTTAGTAGTATTATTTCGATTGTCTGCCATAATGCCAGCCACAATATTAATAAACCTAAATACACGTCATTTACTATTAAAATTAAAATGTTAAATGCAAATATTATTACTTTTTTGATTCCAGTAAACAATCAGAATTTTCAAAAAAAAATGGAACTATCACATTTAAACATGCAATAGTTGCTGTATAGTGTCTATACTGTACTAGTCTATAACAATAGTCCAACCCTTTGTTCAATATAACTGGAACACAATGACCTACAGTTGTTACGTGAATAGCAGTATATAAAGCTATAGGGTCATTGTGATGTAAACATTTAATGTCCTAAAATGGTACAAAAAGTTATTCGAAAACTATACTTGTGGAAAATTATTTTTACTTACAATATTATTAGTATCAATACTAATTACTGAATGTAAGTAATGATTCAAGTCTTGTAATGATCCACGTACAATGATGTCAGGTAGGTCCATTAAATGAAGTTTTAGAGAATATAAAACTTTCCATGACCACACTCTAAAAGCTTGTTCATTTGACTTAATTTGCACCAACTAAATAATATATTTTTTTTATTATAGAAACAAATTGTTAATTATTTTTTTTAAATTACTTGTTTTATACTATGAACTAAATATTGAGCTGATGTTTCATCTACTGTGATAGGAGCATGCTGTATAACAGCTTTCACAATAATGATTGCTATATAACCGTGCATTTCCTTAGTCAACATAAAATCACTGCATTGAAAAAAATAAAAAATAATAATGTTTTCAAATATATCAAAATTATGGATATATTAATTAACTAATAGCTGAAAACTTAATAAAAACAGTACTTACTTAATGTCATTTTCATTACACCCCGAAAATAACTTAGAGAGTATATAGCGGCTTAAAGAATTTTCGGTTGATGTAATAGAATGATTCAATAACAAATGTTCTAAGTAAGACAAATCATCCATAGTAATTTTCCAATTTGGTAATGGTAGGGTTTTGAAAAGATATATAGCACTCTTAACATGATAAAATTAATTAAATTTGACACGAGGTTATTTACATTTAAAATTCATTTGAAATACATACCGAGCCAACATCGTCAAAATTATATTTCAGAATACTCAAAATTTCAGAAATGAGGAAAGGATGTTTATCAGATAAATTAGATAACAATGTTCGACAAGTTTTTTGACATTGTTCTTTAGTAGTTTCACTCACAAACCCTATCTATTTTAAAAACAATATATACATATATAAAATCAAATCATTAACAATTATAATTGATATTCTTACTTTGAATAAGCAAATGGTCACTGTTTTTATAAAATCTATATCATTAATGTATCTACTTAAAGCCATATTACAAATAGCTGTTAATAAATAGTAACATTCGTCATCAGAAGTATTTATAACGCATTCTGATAGTTCTTTTAATGAATATTCATTGGAAACTAAAAACAAAACAGAACTTCTATAATAATAATAATAATTTGAAATAATAAGTATTATTCGAATGAACCTGATTTAATATGAAGCATATGTTGGAAGAGATGTAATACCATCGGAGAAGAAACTTGACTAAAAGGCAACATTACCAAATATTGCCAAGTTGTTCTATCATCATTATCATACAAACAACTAACAATACGTTTTAAGAATGAATCATATTCTGTTTGAATTCTGGCTGACACAAACTTATGAATTCTAAAGATATTTAAACTATGTTAATATACAAAACAATTTATAACAAAACATATTTTAAAACTAACTTAAATTCATCCAACACATCAGTAACATAGTTTGCAGTATCCTGAAGAAGATGCCCTAGTCTTTTTGAAAATTGTTTATATTCAGTACTTTTAGAACAGTATGTTTGTAGTCCTAATTTGAATAATTTTACTAAAATAGTCCCAATAGCAATCAGTCTTAATAAATTTTGTTCATTCCATAAATTAACACATAAAGACTCTTTTTTTTCAGAAAATATGATCTGCATTAAAAAAATTAAGTTAATATAAATTTATAAATAAATTAAAAATTACATTACTTTTTTAAAAAGAGTTGAAAATGGTATTTGATTTAGTAAAGCTATAATATCACTTTCACGAAGTGTTTGTTGATAGGTTCCCGAACTTTCTTCTTCACCTTCACTGTCTACTACTACCCAAATAGATTCATTAGTATCACTATCATTTTTACAGATCTAAAGGATTTTATGAATGATTAAGATTTTATAAATACATGATGGAATATAACACCCAATATATTACTTGTTCTAAAAATTTTTCACGAGCATAAACTGGTGTTAAAATAATAGCCAATGTTGTGATTATAAAATCTAAATGGAAATTATTTTCTTGATAGTTAAAATCAATTAATGGTATTTGGATAAAAGAGCTAGCCCATTTTCCAACACCTGTAGGGCATCTGAAACATTAGAAATAAAACAAAACTATTGAAAAACTGTTATTTATTAATGAATAAAAGGAATATAATTCATAATCGACTAATAAAAAACTAGCTACCTACCTTAAAATGTGATTTAAAACGAAAAAATGATCTTTCCAGGTAGCAACTCTAAGTAAAACACCAATTGTTTTAACCAATAATTTTCTAGTTTCGCTAATAAAAACTTTGTCACTAATTGTTTTTCTTTGATATAAAAATAATATAGAAATGGAAGATTTGAGATCATATATGGATGACTGAAGATTGTTTCCTTTTATACTGAAGACATCTGCATTTAAAGAAAGTCCAATAGGAGTATCAGAAGAAATAGCAGAAAATGGCTGACATAAAACATGCAGATAATAATCAATCTGAAATATTAGTAATTACATTATTCAAAAATCATACTTGAACATATTTCTAATTAATTGAAGCAACAAAAGAAGTAAAAATGCTAACTTTTTCTTTAATCATTTGACAATCATATAAGGCACAATAATAATTATTAATTAAAATCCGTAACTGTTTGAGGGACTCCACTAAATTATCTAAAGCTACTTGGTTGAATCTAGATACATCATACTTTTTTGTAGCTGATACTGGATTGCCATCCTAAAATAACATTATATAAACATTAAATATACATGTCATAAAATTAGATTAATTAATAAACAGAAAAATAATTAAGTCATTTTTTTTTTTAATTTAGGTTAAATAGTAATATAAATATCTTAATTATACTCAATAGTCAGAATTGTTTCAATAATAGTTTATACATAGCTTAAATAGTAAATAAAAATGATAGATACATTAAACAAATTAAAATTTACATCAAATATTAATTACCTGACATTCTCCATACTGTGTATAAGTAGCTGGTTCTAATGTCCAAATATGTTTTTCATGTGTAATATATGAATATTTTAATTCTTTTATTTCTTGTTTATTACTTTCAAGTTTAAGTCTTGCATGCAAATAATCTTGGAGTAATATATTAAGTGGATGTTCACAGTTTTTGAATGATTTCAATTCAGACAAATTAAATTGTTCTATATACTCTGATAAACCAAATAATAATTTGTTTTGATAATATTCAGCCAGTTGGTCATCAGTAAATGGAGTTAAAGACTCAAAAGGTACTTCAGAAACTGATGAACTACACAAATCATCAAGTTCTGGAGCACAGGGAGTTGGTAATGAACCGATAGAACATGGTATTGACATTGGTAGTATAGATGATGAAGTCGTATTATCAACAGAACATTGTTCAACAAAATTTTCTGTTTTACATAATTTAATATTATCACTTTTTGAATTACTAATATTTTCATTAACTTCCACTGGTGGTTCTGTACTTATTAAAATATCATTGAATGCTTCATGAAGAGCATTTTCAACATTATCTACTGTAGATGAATGTAATATATTATCAATAGGTTCTGGTTCTTCGACATTTATCTGAAATTAAATAATACCATTTATCATAATTATCCAAACTTTATGACATTATATTGGTCTAGTTTGTTAAATAAATTAAAAAAAAAAATTGTTAAATGTTTAACTAAAAACAAATATATTTAATGACATTAAAATATGTAAAATTAACAAAATAGACTAATAATTGATGATCTACATTAATTTATGCCATGAGAGTGTTACTTTAGGTACGGTAGCGTAGTACATTTTTCAAATAAAAAAAAGTATATACTAATTTCACCATATATCGATCAACTGATAAGTCAATATTTACACTACAGTATGATGCTTTGTTCATAATTATATAAAACACTATAAAACTATAAACACTATTTTTATAATGAGTATAATATTCTTTTGAAATAATTTATTCAAAAATAAGATTGATAAAACCATAATCCTATTACCAAAGAAATTATGTATAACTTTAAGTACAAGATTTTGTAGATTGATGATTTCTAAGCAATTTAAAATAATTTATTTAATGATTTTTTAGTTTCACTGTAACTAAACTTTATTGAAATTATTATGGAAAGAAAACAATTATGAAATATGTATTATAGAATCAAATACAAAATAATTAGGAAATAAGTATAATAGGTAATAGGATAAATTTAAATTTTAAAAACTGTCTAAAAAGGAATAGAGAATAAGAAAAATTTTTGATAAAATTGGTTTTAATTATAAAATAAGAATATGGTAAGAATAGTTATAAAAATAATTAAAAATTACTTATGAAATTATACAATTATAGGAAAAATTTCAAATTAAATAAAACCTTATAATAAAAATATATGCTTGTTAACTGAAAAATATTGGGTTTAGTTAAGATGTTGAAATTTTCAGTTTTATTAATATTTAATTTTATTAAGAGTGCTTTACACTTAAGAGTATACCTGATTTATGTGATAAAGGTTAAAACACAACTCAATTATTTGTTTAATGGTTGACAGAAACTATAAATAAGTGTAAGACAAATGATCAGTGGCGTAACTGGGAAAAAATCTAGCGGGGGGGGGGGGGGGGGGGGGGGCAATATAATATATTTATTATTACCAAAACTCTGACACCTCTCCCCCTCACCATTTAAAACATATTTTTATTGTATGTATTTTATACAGTATATCTAATTGTTTGATTTTACATAAGTCTTTTAACTCATTTTGTGATTTAGATTAACATAAATTGTAGGTAGCAGGTACTAGGTACCAATATTGATAAATAATACCTATAAGAGTTCATTAATAAAAGGTGCTGTTTGTACTATTGAATTATCTGGGGGGGGGGGGGGAAAATTATAGCTTTATCTCTCAAAAAATTGTCATGGGGGCACTTGTCCCCCCACAATTACGCCACTGTAAATTATGTCAATAATATCTAATGCGTCCATCAACCCATGAACTATAAATAGAGCCAATATAAAGGCCTAATAATTATTACTCTGTTGAATCAATATAATTTATAATTGAATATCTAAATTGATTGTAAGGAAATACACTGGTACACACGCGCGTATTACGTAACGTGAATTGTGAAACGTGAGAGGAAAAACCGTCTTTGGCAGTAAAAGATTTGTTAACGGTGCTGCGGAAATAGTGGTCATTTCGTTCAAAAACAACAGCCAACGCGAGACCGGATGCTGGTCGTTGGGAGATCCGAATGCATTTCAGGGAAAAACCTTACAGTCACAATTGGACAATCGTTCCGTACATACTTCATAAGACGGACGCTTGGTCTTGGCTGGAGCGTGCATTTTAGGCCTTTGTCGTTCCATTGCGACGCGACGATTAAATTATAATATCATTTGTAGCACAAGAAGCGAACCGATCTGACGGTCGACATACGACGAACTGACAACGGTGCGATGCGAGGCTATTGTGAATTGTAAGGGAAATTATTGCGATTGTTCTCTTGTTCTTATCCGGTACTCGATTGTCGTTTGTTATTTTTTCTGTTATTATTATTTTTGTTATTGCGTAGCCCGTTATCACGCGACACATGATAAAAGATCACCAAGCATGCGAGAAAGTACAGGAGTGGTAGTAACACGATAACGTCGATTGTGTTTACATCATAGAAATGTAATAGTAATGTAATAATATAATGTAATAATTATATATTTTTATATATCAACGGTTTATACAGTCGTATCCGATGGAAATATTCAATTTCTTCGATCCGTCTGTGACTGTAAAGGCCACGGAGAGAATTTTAATTGTCATTTATTTAATGCGAAACTTGTCCGATGACTATGGACCACGGTTTATGATAGTACTATCTTAAACCATGCTACGGCCGAATGTTATCAAATGTTGTTACCACGCGCGATCAGCTGTGCATGGCTACTGCGGTAAATAGCCGTTATCAACGGTAATCGCACTAACAGCAGCAGCAGCTGTTCCGCGATGTCCGCGCGTGATAAGACGATCGCTCGTTAGCGTGAGGAAATGTGAAGAGGTGGCGTACCGAACGGAAAGGAACGGCCCGCGGAGATTCCCCGGCGCGCGCGACTTCTTGCACGCTCGGCTCCTCTCGATTGTGCCGTTATGAGTGGCGGCCACAGTCGCCGGCCGATCAGTGTCCGTGTGTAAGGCCGACCAACAAGTCGCTGCGGTTCGGTCGCCGATGGTGTTGAACACGTCTCGTCCAGTTCAGTGCTATGGCTTCGCGTATAACGTCCGGTGCCCGGTTGTGCGTTCGCGCCAGTATCGATAAGCTCGTGTGCAATTTGTCCAGGAGCCGTCACCACAGCACCGTGGCCGCTAATGACATGGCTGTTGGTCCCCGGTCTGACAGGTTACAATGTTACCAGGTTAGTAACGGTATGCGTCCAAATATCCGTCCCTGGGGTTAGCGGCCTGCAGTGAAATGTACCCACCGCCGCGATCGTTATTGCATGGTTAAACAACCTGGGTTCACTCTGTCTCTTTCTCTACCCTTTGAATAATATATTGTTTATTGTTGTCAATTTTGTTATGTTTTCCTATTTTCTACTACGATTTTGGAGCTCTCCAAGGTCCTTTCAATGACTTTTCACTTGGCAATCATCCCATTCCAATCAGAGTTCTTGATCACTGACGCATTTGCAGTTGTCAGATGTCGTGTTTAGATCATAGGTAGATGGACAATGGTTAAATTTTAACCATTTCTAGATGGCTCTTAAGATTTCCATCCATCCGATTAACTGTATGGACTACTCGCTGAAACCTATGGTTGAGCTCAATCAAACATTGTGACACTGTTGAGTTACCTGTTAATTGTTACAATTCTGACCTTTAGATCCCTACACTTTTTTCATATATTGAGAAGAAATATTTAACTGGATTTGTCTTGTCACTATGATATTGGCATTTTAATTGTTTTGGTACAGTTATAATCTTGCTATTAAGCCAAAGATGGTTGTTAAATTACATGATACAAATACATTAAATTACATATATAATTATTGATTGATTGTGAATTTTTATTATTAAGTTAGCAACTAGTGAACTTTCTTATTTATTTATATATAAGAAATAAAATATATTTAAATTGGTATTATTAGTTTCGTTGATTAATTTTTTGCAAAAATTAAATCTAATAGTTTTATAATTGCATGTTTACATTTGCACTGCTAAGTTTTCTTTTATTCTTATGAAGAATCTTTTTAATGCATAATTAAAAAAAATAATCTGTTTTTTTGGATATAAGCAGTAACTTTACTTTGAAAATGATATTCGTACATATTGCAATGAATTATTCTAATATATTTTCATCAAAAAGTTACTAAAAACTTAATCATTTTTCTATAATTTTATAAATGTATTATTTATAGTTCTAGTTATAAGTATATAAAGACTAAACTGTAAAAATGATTAGTTTCTTATGTTATTTATATTAGTACATTTCGACTATAACAAATTCATGGTATAATATTGTATAAGCTATTTTTTAAGTTTTTTCAATTATTTCTAATTCACGAAGTTTTTATTTTAAATTTTATGTATAATTATTCACGAATTTCCATAAATTAATCAAGAGAACCAATGTTTTAATTATAGTTTAATTTAAAAATTGTAATCAATATCTACTATATACCCTAACTTCCAATTTACATTTAATTTCACCGGGTATCATAATTTCAGTTTGTGTGTTTTACACAATTATTGAGGAACTTATTAGAAAAGGAAAGAATCTATTAATAATTTTAAAGAAACGACCTCGTTCTTCATAAAAAAATGTCTATTTTTTTTTTCATATTTATCTAAATATTTACAATAACATTACTACTTATCTACTAATTAGGTTGAGTTAGTTAAAATGATTAGTATAATTATTTAAGTATATTATGCTTTACAAATTTACAACTTTACATTTAAGAATTAATTTCATTTTCATTTTAAAATTATTGTGTCCCACTTAAAAAATATTTTTATCAATTTTAATTTAATTAACAATATTGTTTTGATAACAACAGCGAAATAAAATAATACATTGATATAATTTTATAATTCATGGTAAGTTTATGTAAGGTTTGCATAGTAATGATATTTTTAGAAATTGCCTGAAAGTTTTCTTTATAATCTGAAACATATAATTTCAATTGACATATAGATGCGAGTTATGAAAGGAGTGTACAACTTATTACTTACTTCTTTGGTCAGTACGAGTTTATTTAAAAATGTAGTTTTCATAATAATTGTACGGATTACTTGACAACGTTAATAGATTTAGGTTCCACGCGTATTGAACGTACAATATTATATTTTATGCCGTTCATTTAATTGATTAATATTCTCAACTAACAATTAATTTAATCTATGTGCAATGATTTATTACGTAATAATATTTATCGTTCACAAAAATTTACCGCAAAACATATTATCATCGATTATAAATATTATACATTCTATTTTAATAATCAATGATATTTATTATACTCGTATGCTATAGCCGTGGAGTTATCGTTGATTTGAAAACACATATCAGTTTTAGAGAGCACTTGCCTCCGTAGCAGAGCCTAAAATTTCTAAATTTTCATAGGATATACTATATTTTAAATAAATATTTTTATCCATGTCGTACTTTGCAGTTAAAGTTAAGCATAAACTTTTTGAAAAATTGGTTTAGTAGTAATAGAAATGATAAGTATTTATGATACATATTATTTTTGAATGTAGCTGTTTTTTTAACTCCAATAAATTAGATTTTATTACAGACTTTCAAATCTCATTGTATTTTATTTTTTTATTCTACACAATTTTAGACCCTACCTACGTTGTCATCATACAACAGAGGGTTGTTGTGCGTTGAACTTGAAAATGACTTGGTGGCATCGGACACCTCGACCCACTGACTTGTCGGTCCACCTCGTGGGTCAGTAGCTTTATTCAATTCGTCCTTGTGACGACTTTACCGCGCGTTATCATTGTCTCGTTGGTACAATTTGCATGTGCGCACATGTATATGTGTATATAATTGGCGGCAGTCTGCAGTAAGGTGAATCACCATAAAAACAAACCAGTTGTGCACAACGCGTTATACTGTCCTACTAAAGGAGATAGAGAGAGAGAAAAAGAAAGAAATAATAACAAATAGAAAAGAAACAAAAAAAACTCATAGCCGCCGAGACCGTTAATCAAGTTCGACAACCTGGGTAGCCCGTGTGCAGTCGTGTATTTTTCCTCTCTCTGTCTATTCACGGACACACATATCACTTGGTCTGTCGTTCAATATTGCATCGCCGCCACCGCACCGAAACCAGACCATGTCCAAATGACCAGTGAATTCTAACACTCGAGAGGCCAAAAAAGTGCGTTATAGTTTCTATTCAAAATGTGATTCGATCAAAATTTCTGACATAAAAAGCGCGAAGTAAATGTTTCTAAAACCAATGGAAAATGATCGTCGATTATTATTCAAAATAAAAAAATAAAATTATATGTTTATTTACTTTCCGTAAAATTTAATTTAAATGGTTGGATAAAAATTTCCGACGTAAATGCAATGAGGTTTGATTAGAAATTTAGATAACACGTAATATCCCAGGTATCCCTACATTTAAGGGAATTAATTTTTAGTTGTACTTATTTATATCTTAAAACTTTCTATGGTAATTTTATATGCACAGTCAATCATAATACTTCTAAATTTCCTAAAAAAAATTTTAATATGTATCTATTAATAAACTATTTCTACTGTATTTTATTTAATCTTTTAGTTAGACTTATGGGAATACAAACGGAACATGTACTAATTGAGTCCAGGTTTAGAAAACTAATAGTTTACGAATTGAGTCCGAGGATTATTTTGAATAAAATATAAATCAACCGTCCAGAGTCCAGACACAGCGGAAATTATACAGCTCAGCGTTTATATATATATTTGTCATATTTATGTCTTATTAATGTGGGCCTCATTTACATATTCTTTGGGGAGGACCACCAATAGTTGTGAATCCCTTCATTCGAAAATCAATGCTGTTTTATTCAGCCCTTCCAAACATTTACCAATTTAAAAACATTTTATTAAATGTAAAATACGAGACATATATAAAAAGTAGAAGTGTTCATATAATTAATACAAGAAATTATATAAAAGAAAAAGAAATCAGAGATCAAATGCAGCTGTTGCAATCAAACACAATAACTAGATTTGAATTTACACAATGCTTATCCCATACATTTTACCAATATGAAAAATGTTATTTTATCATTATCTAAATATATTTAATTATACATAAATCATTCATATAATTTTGTACTCCTATATTATTAGATTATAAAATGTTAAAAAAAAAGTGCCACTAAAAATGGGAAGAAAAATGTATTATTTTTTATAAATTTGACTAGATTTAGTTTATATTAAAAGTTGAACTCAATTAGTGTTATATCTATAATTTCATGGAATTCAATACCTTAATACAACCCGGGGCTCAATTTTCCATAAAAAGTTATATTCGAACTCATTTCGTATGCAGCCCTTTGAACATTTACTACCATAATTTAGTTCATTATTAACTGTTATTAATTATTATAATTATTTTAAAAAATGGATACGTACAATTAAATCACTATAGTCAAACTGCTTTTGCCTACTAGCTTTATTCTTGCAGAAATTAATAATTGTGCAAATTGTTTATATTTGTTTAAAACTGATGAAATTTGAAATGTAAAAATAATTTTTTTCTTAAATAGTTGTATTGATTACAAATAATAATTTGTCCTTGAAATGTATTAGTTATAATTAATAGAACACAAGTCATGTATTATTGTTATTTTTCATTAAATTATATTAATTTATACTATGCTTCTCATTGTGATATGTTTGTTCTTATGTATTTAAAATTACCCCCTTAACAAAGTATATTATCAATTGTATTGTGCAAACATAACTGTAGTTTATATGTTGGTAAATAAATAATTAATAATAACTTTAATGCTATCTTGACTAGACATCTTGAAGCGACTAATAGATTTTTAACATTTATTATAATTAACATTAAAGGGGTTGTAATCAGTAAACATTTAAGAATATTATAAGACAAATGTTAAAAACGTTTAATATTGAGTTTAATACTTCAACAATATAATACATTTTAATTATTTTTAGCTATTAGTAGATAATTTTTATCTACTTTAATTTTTCATACTTTTTGCTGTATTTATGAACTATCAAATAATCAAATAATTTTTGTTGAATTGGCATGTTTTAGTGTTAGTAACCTAAGTTATTGCGCTTTCAGAGTAGGTATTTAATTAAAATTTAAAAACTTGTGTCTTTATTCAGCTTATAAGTAATGTGTCATTCATTAATATAACTAAATCGAATAAT